CACAGTGGTATATGCCTATAAACAGAGCTACTTGGAAAGCTGAGGCAGGATTATGAGTTCAAGACCAGCCTGAACAACTTAGCAAGATCCTGTCTCAAAATAAAAGACAAAAATAGCTGGGGATCTTGTAATGGATGGACAGGGAAGGAAGGAATCAGAAGGGGAAACATGAAGAATTAAGATATGTAAACACACTTCCTCCCAACAGTGAATATAATCACTATGTATGTACTACAAATATGTATTAATTAAACATTTTTTTTCCAAAAAAGGACTGGGGCTGTAGCTCCATGGTAGAGCACCTTTGGGATTCACTCTCAGTATAAGGGTGAGGGATGGGGAGGCTCCAACTAAGGAGACAAGTTAGGAGGAATAGCAGAGACTGATGGACACCTTCTTCTTCTTCTTCTTCTTCTTCTTCTTCTTCTTCTTCTTCTTCTTCTTCTTCTTCTTCTTCTTCTTCTTCTTTCTTCTTCTCCTTCTCCTTCTCCTTCTCCTCCTCTTCCTCCTCCTTCTCCTCCTCCTCCTCCTTCTTTCTTCTTCTGTAGTAAAACTCTGTTTTTTTCTTCTTCCTCTTCTTCCTTTTTCTCCCCTCCCTCTCTTTTTAATTCCTTCTCCTCCTTTCCCTCCTCTTCCTCTTCTTATTCTTCATCCTTTTCTTTTTTTTCACCCTTGAACTTTTTTTTTTTTCATGACAACAATGTGCCCAGGTAAAATCTGTATTTTCTAGCTCTTTTCCTCATTACAATTAAACATGATTCTGGCCAGTAAATTATAAGACAGAATCTTATAACTTTTTGTATCACAGCTTAGGAAGAACACATTGTGTTTAGAGGTCATCTACAGGCTCTCCTCACTGCCAATGTAGAAGGCAATTCCAGCCATCTTGAATCATACAGCTCCCTTTAGAATGGAAGCTGAATGCTGAGGATGGCAGAACAGAAAACCCAGCCAGGTCTCTGTTGATAGCATGGTAATACCATGACAACTCTGGACTGCTTGTTTGTCAGCTCATATAATAAGAGAGAGAGAGAAATAAATATCCAGTGGCTTAAGCCACTGAATTTTTGGGTTTTTTAATCATATATAGCTAAACTTGATAGCAGCAATTCAGGTGAGAGAATATGGTGTCAAAAATGGTCAGATCCTAATGTTTATAAAGACAAGACCTATTGTATTTGTAGGTGGTTTGGGTATGAGAATGAAGGAAAAAGAAACCAAAGGAAGACTGTCAAGTTGGGAGCTCCAGTGCCTTGATAGTGACATTCTTCAGGGAGGTGCAGAAAGCTGGGGGTGGGGGTGGGCACGAGGTTAGCACTGGAGAGAAACAAGGTCTAGTGCCTAGCAGACAGGGTTACTTCTGATGAAAGCAAGAGCACACTGGGACTGGAAAACAAGGCACAGGCTGATGGGGAGCAGAGGGAGCTCCTGTCCTGCAGCTTTTGCTCCTCAGTAATCTGTGAGGTGAGGTCAGCAGTGGGGACTGAAGGGATAAATGTCAAAAGTGGAGAAGAAAAAGAGAAAAGCTGTGAAATAGCCATTTTAGAGAGTGGGGTTTCCAGGCAGGGGTGAATGTACCCTTCAAAAGGGAGCCAGTTGGCAGCGCTATGTGTTTTTCTATGATCCAGGTCAGTTACTGAGTTGGGTTTCATAGAGCCCAAATTTCACCAAGCAAATACTCAAGGATATGAAATGAGAGACACAGGGGATCAACAGAAGAAGGGCTCAGAATAATACATCTGGAGTCAAAACTGGAGAAGAAAGGAAGTCAAAGCATTAGATGGCTAAAGGATGGAAGAATTGAAGGTTCCTGAAAAGCCTGAAAAATTGCAGGAGGATGGGCCCTAGAAAAGCTAAGCCAAAGGGTACAAGATGAAGATGGTCCAAGGATTGGGTGGTGACAAAAGAGACTTTGGAGGAGATGTGCTTTGTCATCAGCAAGGCCAGGTCTAACCAGTCCCTGAGGACTTTGGTGAGAAAGCAGAAAGTCACTGGAAAGGGACAGAAATGAAGAGTCCGAGGTACTGGGTGGTGGTCAAGATATTTTATTACATCAAACATGTTAAGTGATAAGACAATGATAAAAGTTTTACACAAATTCTTATAATTAGTAGATTATCTGGTTGCATTTATTACTATGTGTTATGCTTCATGTCTAGTTGTAGTTGTCCCCGAAGAGCCTCATGCAGGCACTGGGGGGTGGCTTCTAGAGTTTGAGACTGATTCATGATCCAGTGGAGGGGATTACGGGTGTGGGTAATCTACATACAATATAAGGAGGGGAGACAGGCTTGCTAGCTGCTGCCTCTGCAGCTCCTCCCTGCGCTCTGTGCTGTCTTCTGCTGCCCTCTGCCATGTGCCACTCTGCCTTGGAGCCTGCAGAGTATGGACTGAAACCTCCACTAACTGTGAGGTAAATAAACCTTGCCTTCCTTAATGTTGCATGTTGGGTATTTGGTCCCAGCAAGGAGAGAAAAGAAACTAAGACAGTATAAATATTTTAAATTAAAAAGTAAAAGAGACATTTATGGAGCTTCATGAAACATAATTTTTCCTGAATATCTGTTTGGGTTGGGTGAAAATTCAAAGCATTTTTTTTTTCTCCATGTGAAACTTCTTTGTATCTTGATATTTTTTCTTTTTCTTTCTGTGGAGTTTTTCTAGGCCACTAATCTATTACCATCATCTTTTAAAAATTGATCTTTTTTTCCCCCCTTTTAACATTCCTTATGTCACAGCTTGCTTCTTCTGAGCTAGATTTTGCATTTATTACTGTTTTAAAACTTTTATTCCACGTTTACTTATGTTCTCAGATGTTTGTTTCCTTTCTTCCTGCTACAGCCCCCACCCCCACCTCCTCAGATTTCTTTCCTTAGAAGAAAGAATGCCCAAAGCATGGCGCAATTCGTGTCTTGGGTGAGACCCATGAACACAACATATCTTGAATATCTGTACTTTTTTTTTTTTTTTTCTTTTTTCCACTCTGTGATCATTGAGATTAAGGGCGAGGCCTCAGGAACAGGTCGCTTGTCAACGATTGTCTCTAGAATATGCTGGAGCTAGTGCCTCCGATGGCCTCACCATCCTTCTCCATGAAGCAGACAGTGTTAATTGGGCCTCTGCTCTGGTCTCCTCATTGCACTGATTAAAGTAATTCACGTTAATGGCCAGTGACCGATGGGCTTAGTTCTCTGAGGGCTGTTCAAATTTCTAAAACGTGTGCATTAATCCAGATAAATCTCTGATTCAGGAAATATACCTGAAGTCATTAAAGCTGGTCATGATTGTCTGTGACAGGTGTCCCAAAGCGGCCTTCCTATCCCTGACAAGGCCGAGCAGGAAAAGGACATCAGGAGCTTTAAATGCACGCAGGAGTCTGTAAGTGTGGGCTCGAGCCGTGTCACCCACCTCATTTATGACCATAGTCAACTGGTGACCTACACGTTTTCTTTACCCATGTTCCAAGTCAAGAAAGGGAGACTTTATTTATGGGCAATTGTTAAGCCAGATTGCTCCCCCCGCCCGCCCCCGGGATTGAATTCAGGCCCTTGCGCTTGCCAGGCAAGCGCTTACTCTACTGCGCCATCTCCCTGGCCCCCAGATTGCTCTTTAATTGTAAATTCTTGATCTCGGGATCCTATTCTCGAATCTTCCACAGAAAAATTCTTCAGATACCTAACTGGGTAGGCAGATTTTTAGGACCACAGACTTGGAATCAGAGGTTTTTCATTCTTCTGGAAAATGCAGAACGAGTTGGGAGCCAGAGGAGCGAAGCACCACCTGAGGTTTCAGTTCCGAGTCGGAAGGCATCTTCCAGCCCCCAGGCGAAGGCTGAGGAGGCCTCTGGCTAGAAGACATACCGAGCCCTCAGTGCAGTGGGCCGGGCTGTCAAACTGCGCCACGCAATCTGACTCCTGTCAGCTCTGTGACCTTGGGCAAGTCGCAGAAGCCTCAGGTGACACAGCTTTTACCCACAACGATAAAATTTTCTTACACAGTGGCTGCTGAACCCTTCGGGAGTAACCGACCCCTTCCGAGGTAGTGTGTCTGCAAAGCTCAGCAGGTTCTCAGTTCACAGATTTGCCAGGGAGAGAAGAGCCGCAGCAATGAGGTAGGTGTGCGCGGGGCCGGGGCTCTTTCCCCTTCCAGTCTGCTGGAGCTCTGCGCTAGGGGTGGCCATGCTCCGCCCCTTGCTTCTGGGTCGCTCCGCGCAGCCTGGGACCAGGAAGGAGGCAGCGCCCCGGCTTTCCCCGCGCGTCGGGCGCGGAGCCCCGGCCTGCGGGCGCGTTCAGTCGCTCGCCCCCACCCCAGTCCTATACCATCTCAGCTGAGCCTTGAGCCCACCCCAGTACCCTTTATCGGCCTTTCGTACACAGCTCGCGTGGGCTACAGAAGGGAAGCCAAGTTTCTGACACGAAAGCACAAATACTGTTCTGAGTAAACTCAGTCGTGCTTCCCTCGCCGGCGACTGTGGACGAGAGGGAAGGCGACGGGCCCCAAGAGGTCGCTGGTGGCGCAGGAACCAGGCGAGCGGGGAGCGAATGGGAGAGCGAAAGGAAAAAAAAAAACAAAAAAACAACCACCCAGAAACTTTTTTCCTCGCAGCCGCTAATCGCCCCCCTGCCGCCCCCGCCCAGGCCGTAACGTGACACCGAGCGAGACTCGAGACTCGCGGACAGGCGCGGGGAGAGGGAGGGCGCAGCGGCGGCGCGGGGCGAGGGCTGCGGAGCGCCGAGGAAGAAAGGGGCGGAGGGGGAGGAGGAGGGGAGGAAAACCCCTGTCCAGGAGGTGGAGCGAGGGGACGGTGTCCGCCTCCCGCCCCTCCCGGCCGTTTCTCCCGAGGAGCCTGTGCCGGGACCCAGCACGCCGGGACGGACGCGCACAAAGCCGTGGG